ATAGAAGAGTCACAAATTCAACTTTAGTTGTAATATGGGGTTCCATACTATGCCATAACCATCCCATAACAATAGAATTTTCCCGCTTCGAATCTTCATGTGTTGGATAGGGTTCTATCAAATATTTCAATTTTGATTTGTCATAGAAAAACTTTCACAGCGTGTACCTAGGCTAAATAATTCAGACCATTAAACTCTTAATCAACCATGATGAAAGCGAACACAACCAATCCAAATCGGAACAAAAACCAAATGCAACAGAATAACCACCACCACCACACACCAGTAGGTGATTTTGAGTATAAGCAAGATAAAAAAATGAAGAGAAATATGGCTAAGCAGTCTGAGCTAGACCTTCCAAATTTATATAAAATTGTCAAAATTTCAACAAATCAACCGACAAACATCATTTGATCCTTCCTATATTCATTTCAATTCTTATAGAGTGGGTTCTAACCAACAAAAAACACAATATATAATACTTTAAATCCTAGATTTGAAAAAATGATGCAAGGAAAAAAAAACCTTGGAAAATAGAAAACTCATATCATATGGTTTCAAAAAATTCTTTAAAAAAAAAACAAAAAACAAAAAACCATATTCATCAGGATAGAGAATCGATTTAGGTCATGTGGTCGTCGTGTTCTTACAAGTTCTTACTTCATTGTACAATTGTTGACGTTAGCACATCTCCATCACCTCGTAATGACCTTCAAATTATTTTGATGGCTTCTAAGGTTGGATTGGATTGTTTTGATATTAAGTTGAGTTGTAAAATATGGAAGATTAGGGTTAGGTGAGAAGGAGGTGGAAGAGAGGAGACAAAAAAATATAGAATTAGGTTGGATTTAATCGTCCACACTGTTCACCTCAGCACTTTTTTTATTAGAATGATACATCACAAGATTACAAGAATGGCCCTAAAATAAAATAACTAGAATGTTTGTTTTAATTTGATTCCAATTTCTTGAAATTTCAATTTTTATTTTATTTCGTTATTTATTAAATCTCAATTTCTTGATGGTATTTCTTTGAGTCGTGCTGCATTTGATAGAAGTGAGACTAATGGCCCCCTTCTGGAGGGGTGATAGTGATGCATTTTTATAGTTGAAGGGGTCAAAATGTATGGCTTCATAGATGAGGGGGTAAACTGATATATTGCTAATAGTTGAGGAGGTCTTGGTGTGATTAATCCTAATTATTTTCTAGTAAATCTTTTTTTTGATACTATCATTGATGATGAAAGTGTACCAATTTTAATATTCATAAGATGATTTGGAGTGCAAATGTACATTAAAAGTTTTTGCTTGGTCTTTGATTCACATGAAACTCAATACCACTGACATGTTTCAGGAAAAGAGGTTTAATTGCTATCTACTTCGGCAGTGGTGTGTGTGTAGAAGGGGCAAGGAAAGTATTGATCACTTATTTTTGCATTGTCTTGTGGCTTTGGCAGACTATTACAGCTGGCGGAGGTTGATTGGGTGGTCCTACTTTCTCGTGTTCACATGCTTCTTGTTGATTTTCGGGTCTTTGGATTTAATAAAAAGGCATTTACTGTAGTGTATTTTTTGCTGTGGTTTGGGTACTACGGCTAGAAAGAAAAGCAATTTTTCTAATGATATAGGGAACTTATGGGTTTAAATATGTTATATTAGACATCTTTTTGGGTATTGATATACTGGTTTACTCTTTGTACTTTAATCTTTTATAAATTTTTTATTTTTTATTTTTCTTTTTCGACCAGCAAAATAAAGATTTTATTGAAAATGAAAATATTACGTAAGGAAGGCCTGACTGAATTGCATCATAGCTCAAAAATAGATCCCAACTAGGTTGGCACCTATAATTGAGCCCTAAGAAGCATGGACACGGATACATAACATGACACGAATACGACACGGACACGCTGACACGTTAATTTTCAAAAAAATGCAAGACACGACATGTGGGCGACACGCATGAAATATATAATTTGATATATTTATTATATGTTGTATATATGAATATATCATTCAAAGATAATAAAAAATGTAATATAACACAAATTCCTATAAATTTATATAGTTTTTGTTTTATTATTGTATCTTGAGTTATTTTGTTCAAACCTATAATTAGTTTCACATATGTCTAATCGACAGACACGTGTATTTAAGCGATTGACACGTATGTCCTCCAAGTATCCAAAGAGTGTCCGAGTTTTTAAAAACATTTAAAAAACAGGACACGTTTTGAAAAGTGTTGGACACGTGTCCTAAGAGTGTCCAAAGAGTGTCGGTGTTCGATACGGACACCACACGGATATGTCACCTACGTAGAAGTGTCTGTGTTTCTTAGATTGAGCCCATTCATGTCATGTGCAAGCCAAGACCAGTACATTTTCATAAAATTATAATTATTATCAGCTACTTTGAATCTTTAAGTTCCAACTTTCTCATCAAAATTAGTAAATTTTAATTTTTTAATCTTTCTTTAGATCTCGAGTTTTTGATGAGAAAAAGATTCAGATTTGATCTCTCTCTCTCTCTCTACTCCCAATCTCTTCCTCTTTTATCATACATCTCAGTTATCATCACTTCTCCTTGATTCATGTTTGCATGCTATATCTTCTTCTCTCTTCATCTTTTTCTTATCTCATTATTTTGTTTCTTCTTCTATATTATATCTATATATGTATTGATCAGCAACAAAGATATATAACATCTTTTTCATCTCTGTTAAATAATATTTAGGAAAAAAGTGCAAATCATGATATTATTTTGACCATCACATGTTCGAAGAAATCCTTGTGAAAGCCATGCTACTTTGGTTTTAGAGCAAAGATTCTTCGAACTAAGAACCTTCTCAATGTTAGAAATCGAAAAGCTTGAGGTTGCGTGTTCTTTTCCCCCCAACAAGAGGGAATTGAGCAGTTAAGTTGATGCAGGACTCACAAGAAGACGATAAATTGATCGATAGTAAGCGATTAGTATTATTAGTAGTCTTTTAGATGAGTTGTTTTTATTTTAGGATTTTTTAGGGGCTTTACTTAGTGATAGGATTAAGCTGTATTAGTTATCTGTGTTGGGTAGGAAGAGTTTTACAAGATTTTTTTTCTTTTTTTGGATTTATTAGAGTATTCTTAAGCCTATTATTAGGCTAAATTGCTGTCATACAATTTGGTTTCTCATAAATGAATAAAATTTGATTGATAGGTTGCTTTTTGTCTCCTCTCTATCGTTCGCTCTTGGTTTCTCTCAGTGCTTTGCTATTCATCTCTTCCCTTTTCTCTTATATTTCCTTTCATACTACTTTATTCTTTCTATCATTTCTTCACCTCGACTTCTCTTTTAGTTTCTTGGTATCTCTTAGTGTTTTAAAAGGCCGCACTTAGGCGCGAGGCGCACCTATGGTGCCTCGGACAGCTTGAGGCGAGGTGTTGTAGGAAAGGCACATTTGAGGCAAGGTGAGGCGAGGCGAGGTGTTGTAGGAAAGGCAAATCTGATAGTTTTGGGCCAATGACTGAAGCTATCGGGCAATTTAGTCTTAGTTTAAAATTAAAACCACTAAGTTATCTTACGGTGCGAGTTCCTTATCTAAAAAAAGAAGTGAATCATGACAATAAATTGATGAAGGAAAAACGGTAGTATTGTGTAAAGTGACTGTTATTTTTGAGGATTTTTCGGAATGTTGAATGTTATTTTATGGTTTTTGGAATATTGAATGTTGTTCTATGGTTTTTGAAATTTTACAAATATTTGCTCTTGTTGAGAACTTTGCCTATATTGAAAAGGCTGCGCTTAGGCGCGAGGCGCACCTATGGTGCCTCGGACAGCTTGAGGCGAGGTGTTGTAGGAAAGGCACATTTGAGGCAAGGTGAGGCGAGGCCAGGTGTTGTTGGAAAGGCAAATCTGACAGTTTTGGGCCAATGATTGAAGCTATCGGGCAATTTAGTCTTAGTTTAAAATTAAAACTACTAAAGTTATCTTACGGTGCGAGTTCCTTATCTGGAAAAGGAAGTGAATCATGACAATAAATTGATGATGGAAAAACAATAGTATTGTGTAAAGTGATTGTTATTTTTGAGGATTTTTCGGAATGTTGAATGTTATTTTATGGTTTTTGGAATATTGAATGTTGTTCTTGTTGAGAACTCAGCCAATATTGAAATTTTGGTTATCTTCTACCACTTGGGCCTCGCCTTGCGCCTCACGCTTAGGCTCCAACCTTAACGCTTCGATGTGCCTAGAGCTTTTTAAAACACTGATCTCTTCTTACTCTTCTTTATTGTTCTTCGATCTTACATCATTATTATCCTTCCATATTTTATCTCTTTCATCTCTATTTTATATTCTTAGGAAAAAAAAAAAAAAAAAATCATAATATTATTTTATCAATCACATTTTCAAAGAAATACTTGTGAAGCCTATGGTACATCAAAATCCTTGTGCCATAGTTCTCCAGCATGAATGACAGGTTGCCTATTTTGAATTTGCCTTTTATAACTGATTTTCCTTGCGAGAAGCTTTGCTATTGAAATGTGCAAGAAGCTTTGTCCGTGTGCAAGTAGCTATTTCTTAGTAGTTATATAGGCACCTTTGCTATTGAAATGCTCATACTTCGAATGTTTGTAGTTATATAGGCTCCCATCTTCTTAGATGGCCTCCATCCTTTACAGTTTGCCTGTGGTATGCCCCTTGAATTTTGTATTTCCTTTAGTTTTATATAAATCTCTGTGCAATAATGTTTTGCTTTGCCTCAAGTGACAAGATTTGAACAAAGAATCATAGGATATGATTGAAGAAAGACGAGATTTTGTGAAAAGAAGTCTTTTAAGATTGTAACAACTTTAAGTTATCAAGATGGGAATCCGATTTATTGTCTTGGGTTGCTATTGATTTCTATGTGTGACCAGAACGAAAACATGAGCTTATCGTGAAAATTAAACACCCAAGTATAATTATGGCTCTTCTTCCTCTATTTTTCTTTTGGGGTAATGGCTTTTATTATATATTTTGCAGGGTTCTCAACAGCCAAGATCATTCTTTGGGTTTGGATCTGGTTCAAATTCTTGTAACAGAGGCCACCTGCACACCGATTTTAATCAGGGCCTTGGCTTTGGAAGTGCATCAATTTCCAGTTTGGGCACAAATGATAGGGGTTGGCTTGCTTTTGACTATGGCAGACGTCATGGAAGGGGTGATGGTTCTTTATGCAATTGTAATAGCGCACTCGATATTCTTAGTGAGCAAAACCGTGGACCGAGGGCCTCAAAACCTAAAAGCCTTATCACCAATGAAAATAGTGCATCTGCTGATAGTAACAAATACAGCTCATCTACTGCAAAGACACGTGATGAGTCTTACAACTGCCCGAATTTTGTCACAGAGTACAAGGATGCTAAGTTCTTCATCATCAAATCATACAGTGAAGATAATGTCCACAAGAGTATTAAGTATGGTATATGGGCCAGCACACCAAATGGAAACAGAAAATTAGATGCTGCTTACCGTGAAGCAAAGGAGAAGAACACGTGTCCTGTTTTTCTTTTTTTCTCGGTAATTTCATTATTAATTTTTAAGTCTGATCATGGAAACAAATAATAGGGCATTTTTTAAAAAAAAAATTTAAAATGATTTCTTTTTTAATTATTTAGAATAATTCAAAGTTAAACGAAGTGTAATAGTATATGATGTCACTAACAATGGAGGTTATATATGTGTGTTTGTGTGTGTGTGTGTGTGGAGATGAATGGTTGGAAAATTGTTGGTTTTTCTGGATCATTTCTCCTTCTAAACAAGTAGTCCTTAGCTCTACTTCTATTTCCTTCTCTAAGATAATAGTCTGTTGGAAGTGATGGAAGCAAGGGCTTGGTTTGTAGGAGGTTGCTTCCCAAGGGTCATGTTTAATATGTAGCATCATCACAGTGCAGATTCCTCAAAAAAACTTATGCTGGGATTGTTTGCACCACTTTGGTTTATCATGATTGAATTCATGCTCATTAGTAGTGTTATTACTTCAAGCCATTAGCTCAACCTGTGTCCTGCCTAGAGTCTCATTCATTTTCAGAGCTCATCCTAAGCCCAGAATAAAGGATCAGGGTCTTGTTGGCTGATGGCCGGCATTTGAGTTTCTGTTAGACCCATATGAATGTTGGTTGAAGCCTCTATCACAATTTTTGTTAATCTAAGAAATCATTTCATTTATTTATTTATCTTTGCAAAATAATCTAGCAAATCATTTTAATTCTAACGAATTGAGCTTTGCAAATTTTCCTGTTATTGTGTACAGTTAAAACTCATTGCATGGTTGTTTTAGTGGTTGCATGATGTTCTATTATTTAAATAGCACTTTATCTTTTCTGTATAACACACTAAGACTTGAGTGAAAAGTTGCTTGGTTTAAAGTATGTTGACTTCAGCCTAAGGTTTATTTGTAATTATTTTGCTTGTCAGAAGAGTGATTTTTTCATGCTTTACATGTAATTATTATGAGACAATTGAATACTTTATTCTAACTGCTTTTATAGCTGTTGTCATTGTCATTTAACCTCCCTTTTCTTGCCATTGCTTATTTTGTTTTTTGTTTTTTTCGTCTCTAGTCATTTCTTTCACTTATATTGTCACAATAACATACAGGTGAATGCTAGTGCCCAGTTCTGTGGAGTGGCTGAAATGGTTGGACCAGTAGATTTTGACAAGAGTGTCGATTACTGGCAGCAAGACAAATGGAGTGGTCAGTTCCCTGTCAAATGGCATATAATCAGAGATGTTCCAAACAGCCAGTTTCGTCACATTGTGCTCGAAAATAATGACAATAAGCCAGTAACCAACAGTCGAGACACGCAGGAGGTACGAATTAAGTTTGAAATTTCCAAAAATGTTTAGAATCTTTCTTGAGTAATCTACTTGAGGTGGCAAGATCTAGCACTATTGTTTCAATAGATTCAAAATCTAAATTTTAAGTTTCCAAAATTTCCAGAAAAGAGGGATTTGATTTTATTCGACCTATTATTTTCTGTTTTAACTTTGGTCTGAGGCAGTAAATTTGATCAGGACTACTCCATCTCTGAAGTTGCTTGTTTGCGAATCCGTTTCTTTGTTTGCTTGAAATGTGATGAGGGATATTTTTTTTCCAAGATAACCATGGCCTTTGTTAGGGCTGCATGAAGAAGAAGGATTCATGTAGCTAACCCCATATGATGGGGCTTAAGGCTTGGTTTGGTTTGGTTAACCATGTGATAAGTGGCTCTACTTACTTTAGAGTGGGTTCAATTGACCCCACTAGATTTTGAAAAAAATCATTGAAATTCTATATTTATATATAGGTAAAATTGAACCCATTAACTTATAAAAATTGACCCCACTTCAATTAGCTTAAGAGTAATTGGAATTTAGAAAAAGAAAATGAAAAAGAAAAGAAGTCATTTCTATATTTATACAAACTCCACTACTTCTGAGTAGTTAATTGAATAATCGAAGACCAATGCTACCAGAAAATGTTATTACCCTAGCGAATTACGTTTTAGAACATATGTACTGAAATATGGTATACTTTCATTCAGTAAATTTAGCGATCTAAGGCGATCCGCAAAATATTTTTCCCATATATTTCTTAAAGGTTTCCTTTGGGTAAAACAAAATCAATTATAATGAAATAAAATCTAAGGCGAGTGAAGTTGGACATGACAAAATTAAAAAATGAGTCATAATGCTCATAAAAATTTGTTGCCACATAATAACCCCAAGGGGTTGGCTTGGTGGCAAGACCGTACGTCTTAGGAGGTGTTCTCCTTCAAAGGTTCAGGAATCGAAACCGCTTAAGTTCTAACAATTCTTTGGGGCCATCGGACTGGGAAAAAATGTGACGCCCCAAAAATTGGGTACATCAGTGGAAATAATAACAAAGAAATACATGGTCCTGCTAAGGCTACATACCCAATTATAAATAACAATACATCAGAATTTAATATCTTACAAATAACGTTACCCCAATTTTACAAATTACAAGTAAAAATAAAATTGGAATAGTGAAATGGAAAATCCGATGTTAGTCCATACCTGCTGCAGCTTTTCGAGCTGTTCCACAAAATCTTGTTGACCGATGAATTCTTTAGAACCTGGCATCGGATGCTAGGGCAAAAGCTGTGAGCTGCGAAGCCCAATAAGAACATCCAACCTCAACTTTCTATAACCCCTGGATAATATGAACCTAGTATAGACAATATGAACAAGTAGAGATACAAAAGATAATTTACATAGGTAGTTACAGTAAGGAATACAAACAGTTACATCAATGCAGAGTCATAAACAACTATAAATAGCAGTCAGTTAGTAACACTTAACACTTAGTTGCAACAGTGAGATCAAGGCCACTAGAGCAAAATATAACCTGTGGACTACCTAATCCAAAACCAACAGTAAAGTAATAAAAACAAAGATAGGTCAAAGATGGACCATTTACTTCCTAGCACACCCCGCTAGGATAGGTAAAATAGCTAAAGTTGTTAAAACAGAAATGAAAACAGCTTATATCCCTGATGAAACAACCAGGGGCGCATTCAGCAGCCAGCTTCGAGCCGAATCTCCCAAGAATCAAAACCAAGATGTAGACCTCCACTAGACAATATAGAACTTCCTGCCAGAATTGAGTAAACAAATCCATTAGTGATCCTGAAAGATTCCAGTAAAACAGATAACCACAATATATGTCTCACATCACTAAACCCTCAATAATCTCACATCACTCAGTTGGAATTTAGCACACAGTATATAAACTCTCCTCACTCAACCCACACAGCAAAGCATTACTCCATAGCCTGCACATAAAGCTTACAACATATATAAACATTAGATAAAACATTTATGAGAAGCTATTTCACTCAACCCACAATTCTGTCTGTTGTAAATTTTGGACTCACAACACTCAACCCTCACTGATCCAAGCACTTCTCATTATGAAGAAAACAGTTAGGAAAGAAACACTCTGTTTGCTTACAATCACTCAACCCTCATATAGTGAACTCACATCACTCAGCAGCCCTCCCAGTGCCGAGAGCATGGGGCTTCAGGACAGTAGCAGGCAGATTCCAATGGTCAATGTACCAGTTGTCACCTGTATTTCTAGGAACATTTGTGATAGACAACAATCTACCCCGAATCAGTTGGACAATTATTTTAACCACCACTTCTTCTGGCTTGAATTCTTTGTTGAAAATTCTGTTATTCCTTTCAAGCCAGATTATATAAACAGAGCACAACAACGACAATTTGATGATTATGGATCTTAATGATCTTCTCTTAGTCTCTCTAGTAGCAAAGGGACTATTACATTTTTGGTTCTTCTTCTGGAGGTATTTGAATTGGTTCTGTCCATGACCGGCCAACTTTGGTCACAAATCTCTCTATGATTTCTACCCTCATCAACCTTACATCTTGTGTCGACAATTTTGAGCTGATAGGTTCATGGTTACTATATTGTCTCATTATGTAGCATACAAAAAGGCCACAATCCACACTGCATAGAAATTATAGGTATAGTTAGTTTTAAGAAACATTCAAATAATAGCTGAAGCCTGTCACCAGTATTAAGCCTCTCCTGGACAGCCATCCAAACAACAAAACTAGCCCTAGGGATATGGTAAGCCCCCCAGATTAGTTTATGCCAAACAACTTTATCAAGCTTAAGCCTCCAATGATTCCAAACACCATTAATAGTAAATTTCCCATCAGAAAGAGACCAAGTAGGTTGATCATCCAGTAGAGGGTTAGGTCTGCAGCTAGTGGGGGTTGAAGAGATCAGCTCCCTTATTTCCCAAGAGTTGGGGACAGGCCACTTCCAAGAGCCCCCTTCCATAATCTGATTGACCTTAGTCTCACTGTTAAGATTAGAGTCATACAAGATTCTGTCCCCAAATTTTTTCCATAAAGGACCAAGAGGATGCCAATTATCGTACCATAAAAAGGTAGAGTCACCCCTACCTATTTTGTGGATAATAAGGGGAGAAATTTTATCTCTAAGAGCAAGGATCTTCCTCCAAACCCAAGAAGAGTTGTAGGGAACCTTTACTTTCCAGAAACTTCTGCCCTTAAGTAAATACGATTTAACCCACTGGCACCACATAGACATCTCCCCTCCAGAGAAGAGGAACCAAATATGCTTGGTTATAGCAGCCAAGTTCCAAACCTCTAAAGATTTAAAACCAAGACCACCTTCATTTTTAGGCACACAAATCTTATCCCAAGCAGTAAAAATAAAATTGGAATAGTGAAATGGAAAATCCGATGTTAGTCCATACCTGCTGCAGCTTCTCGAGCTGTTCCACAAAATCTTGTTGACCGATGAATTCTTTAGAACCTGGCATCGGATGCTAGGGCAAAAGCTGTGAGCTGCGCAGCCCAATAAGAACATCCAACCTCAACTTTCTATAACCCCTGCATAATATGAACCTAGTATAGACAATATGAACAAGTAGAGATACAAAAGATAATTTACATAGGTAGTTACAGTAAGGAATACAAACAGTTACATCAATGCAGAGTCATAAACAACTATAAATAGCAGTCAGTTAGTAACACTTAACAGTTAGTTGCAACAGTGAGATCAAGGCCACTAGAGCCCCCCCATAAAGACTCATCCTCCCAACCAACCGTTAGAATTGAACACCAGACTATTTGAAAACACAACCCCCCCTCCCCTTTTTCTCTTTTTTTTTTTTGGTGGGTAAGTCATAAATTCAAGACAAAGAATGTACACATTTACAAGGGGCATATCCCAGGTAATACAATAAATCCAATACTATCCCTCAAATGGGGGTCGAGTAATAACAAAACAACTAACTAGAAACAAACCCCATAATTATGGGTAACCAATGAAAACACAACAATGGCCCTATCATTGCCCATATATCCTTTTGTCCCAAGTTACCCCTACCATCAGAGATAATAGATAGGAACTTGGGGGAGATATATGGGCAAGTAATACAAAATGAAACCACATAAGTTACATAAGTACATCTTAAACACGTACAAACTATGAAGCACGGACCCCGACATGACACGGATACGCGGACACGCAAATTTTCAAAAAATTGGAGACACGACACGCTGGTGACACGTTTAATATATATAATTAATTTTATTTATTATATGTCATAAAATTATAAAAAAAATCATTAAAAGGTAATAAAATATACTAAATAACACTATTAAAATTATTAAAAATAAACATTTAATTGATTTAACATCACAAAAAAAATATACTCAAATAATATAGGCACAACTGAGAGAAAAAAGAAAATAGGAAAAAATAATAAAAGACAGAGAGAGACGGATCACTCGAATACAGAGAGGGATAACTCACTATAAAAGAAAAACATAACTCACTATATAAAAGAACAAATAAAAGAGAAGAAAAACTAAAATCAGACAGAGACGGTGAGAGAGAGAGAGAGCGACTGAGAAAAAGAAGAATGAAGAAGAAGAAGAATGAAGAAGAGCAGCGTGTACCTTAACGAGCGACGACGAGACACGAGTGACGACCGACAAGGAGAGATGACCAACGAGCGACGACGAGACACGAGTGACGACCGACAAGGAGAGATGACCAACGAGGAGCGACGACCGACGAGGAGCGAAGACGAACGACGAGCGACAGGTCTCTCTTTCTCTTCTGTTCTCTCTTTCTATTATGTTCGAATCGAATTAGGACAGATATTGCTCTGTTTTTACTTATTTATAAATCACCTCCAAAAAAGTTTTGTACATTGTGAAATTACCCCCGAACGTGTCCCAGAAGTGTCTATAACGTGTCCGGAATGTGTCCAGATGTAAAAAAATTAAAAAAAAATTGGGACACTCTGTGCTGCATGTCGGACACGTGTACGGAGCCCTCGAAGAGGTGTCCATGCTTCATAGCGTACAAAAAACATAAATAAACACGCTGAAGTGTCCACCAAAACCATCAACTCTGCTAACCTCCTCCACAAGCTCCCAGTCTCTACCATGGATAGAACATGGAGTTAGATAAGCATCTCGCACCTCATAGCCATGACATTCATAGCCGCTGACAAAAGCCATGACAGAGGAAAAAGTATACCCCATGAAGGATCTTGATAAAGTCACATGAAGCTCACACGGTCAGTCACCAGAAAAAAAATTAACGGTATCGGAGAGTATAGCATAAGCCAGTAGCCACTACCGCAACAATCAAAGTCAGAGTCGATTCCACCATGAAACAAATTACCACATCCCCCAGTACCTACCTTAGCTAATCACAAAGCCTCAATCCCCACGGTAATGTCTCCCTCACTCCATGTCGGGAGTGGCTTAAAGATCACATCAGGATGGGTCACATAAAGACAAGAGGCAACCAGAAAAACCCGGTAAACTACTCATCTCCCAGTCTCTAATTCGGCTGATCATCAAACCACGATTTCCCATAGTAGTGACGCCTTAATCACCCTTGGTGGAGATGGTTGAAGAACAACCTCATATAGAATCACATGAGGATCACATAATCAATCATCATGAAAAATCTCCCTTTTGCTACTTTGCAGATCTTACCACGGATATTTGCAATGATTATATACCGCATAGCGCCATCGGTGGGCCTCAAAAGGGACAACCAAAAGAAAAAGGTTTTATTATCTTGAACCCAACCTTATCCCTCCAAAACAAAAAGGTTTTATCCTCCTGAATGTCTTATCTGGGCCAAACCCTATCTCACCAAAACAAACCACCGCATAGGGTCTGAATATGCCCATTCCATCCTAGGGTTAATGCGGCAACCACTTGTGCAAGATTTAACTCAAAGGGAACACATCCCATCATCATTTCATTATCAAACCAACCATTCCAATTATCTTTTCAGATCATCACGAGTTAACGCAACCCATTACCACCCGATTAAGTTTCTCCTTTTTAAATTCATTATATTTTCAGTTAGAATAATGGATAATCATAACAGAGCTAACCAAAGCTATACGTCAGACAACTAAGGCATGATAAAATAAGTTTACAATATAAGCATATATGATATACGGAGCTAAAACACATAAGAGATATAGCATAGAGGTGATAATCCGCAATTAAGAATACTCACATAATTTCAAATACTTCTGTCAAAGACTTTGAGGAATTATTTGGACTATTAAAACAAATCTTTTAGACTTTACACAAAATCACACATTCCATACATACACCAAATAATGCCCTATTTAAACAAATTTTTATTTCATAAAGATTTGCTATTTTAATATTTTCTAAAATAGTAGGTTCAACTTACCAAACAAATAAGAAATCAAGTTATAATCACCATTTTCATGTTTTACATAATTATACTATCTAATCATGTTATGTCAAGAATTGTGGGTCAGTTGAGAAGAAGTTAGTTAGGTAGTTGGTTGAGAAATTAGTTATTCAGTTAGAGGAAGTCAGTTGAGAATTAGTTAGTTAGTTAGAGGTGTGAGGTAAAGAAGTAGTTATAAATAATTTGGGGAACTTACTCTCTATATTTCTGTTTCTTCTTCCCTAGCTATTACAAACCAACATATAATATCACATATATCATCATCTACAAATAGAGTAAAGAACAAGACAAAGTAGAAAAAAAGAAAGAGAAGAAAGGAAGGGTTAAAATATTCTTACTTCGGTTAGGTTAGTAGTTTATTGTCGGACTTCTTTGTCAACCGTCTCAGTTTATGATTCTAACCGTTGGATATTCCCATCCTAGCTCCATGATCATCTTGTTGGAATTTCATGTCGATCGGACATGATCTCATTGTTAATCTTCCATTTGATTCTTCTGAATTTGTCTATTGTCGATCATCATCTTAGACTCAGAATTTACAGGATTTGAACTCCAAAGTCATCGGACCACCCAATTAATCTGGATGCACTAGGAAGCACCGTAGCACCATGAGCCGAGAAGCACTGGATAAAATTCAATTTCATCTTCTCCAAACCAGCAGTGCGCACAGATGTTTCTTCCAATTTCCGACTTTGCTTCGACCCATCTTTCAGACTTCATATCTCCCTCGATTCTTATTGGTTTAATGTTGTTCTTTCACCAAACTCTTCTTCTCACTTCCTACTTCGTCCTATGTCTTTTTGCCTTCTCACTTGTCCCCTAATGGGTGATTTCGGCATGCCAAAAGTTGTTCGAAAACCAACTTCGAAAATTCTAAGAAATATCTTCAAATTTATTTCTTTCTTCATCATCATCCTCCGTCTTCTTCTTCTTCATATAGAGCACTGTGGAGAGTGGTTCTAGGTGGTAATGGAGTTTGGTGGCAGTTTGTAGTGGCGATGGTGGTAGAGAAGCTCATGGCTGATGGTGGTCATGACAATTGTGTGATGGTGATGGCAGTAATGGAACCTGGTTGTGATGAAGAGAAACATCTTCAAATTTATTTCTTTCTTCATCATCATCCTCCCTCTTCGTCCTCTTCATATAGTGTGGAGAGTGGTTCTAGGTGGTAACGGAGTTTAGTGGTGGTTCGATAGCGATGATGGTGGTAGAGAAGCTTGCGGCTGATGGTGTTCATGACAATTGTGTGATGGTGATGGCGGTAATGGAACCTGGTTGTGATAAAGAGTGATGGAGGTGAGTTTGGTGATGAAGGGTGGCGGTGATGATGGAGCTCGTGGGTGGTGGGTTGGTAGTTCGGGTGGTGATGTTGAGAGAGAATGGATATATTTATGTAGATATATATAGGTGAGAAAGTACAAGAGAGCATGTGAGGGAGAGTTTTGGACATGGAGAGCAAGAATATGTTGGGCGGAAGTTGGGCAGGGATTGGGTTGGTTTTGGTACAGAAAATGCTATGTTTCAGCATAATTTGGTCTGTGAAAAGTATAGGGAAAAATATAATAAAAATACCAGAAAGTTCAAAAAATAATATTGAATAATAATAGAAAGCTAAAAGTATTTTTTTGAATAAAATTTTCAATATAAAAATATACAGACTATTAAATTCAAAATAATTTGAGTAATTATACAAAAAATTTAGGAAAATATGTTATTTTTTATAAAAATACGGGATTTCATAGAAAACCCTTGATTAAACGTGGTGCACTTGTGGGAAACTCTTTGCCGAGGGCCTGTGCACCCTTGGGGATTAGTCGAGCTTTGATCTGGACACCTCGGTGCCAATTAAAAAAAATGTGTTGCCACATGATTAATTTTGGGGAAAAAATCTACATTTTTTTAGATGTGTAATTGTTAAAAGAAAATTAATCTTGAAATTCTTTAAATTTCTCTAGTGTAATCAATATGAGTTTACTCTTATCATACTACATTTTATAGCACACCACATTTGCATTCCCATTCCACATACTGAAATGATCAACGTTCTAGGTAACATAGTCTAAGACTATTGGTTTTTTTTTAATTTTTTTTTTTTAATAGTTGAATATGTATGATTTTTATATGTATGCATCTAGAGGTATTGAATAATTTTATGTATTTTTTTTATTTTAATTTTATTTTAGTATAATTTGTTTTTTCCCTGGATGCTAGTTTTACTCTGATTTGGTAATATAAGTGTGATTTTTTTTTTTTTTTTTTTTTTTTTTTTTTTTTGAGATTTTAATGTTGGGTTGTATTAATTTTCTTGAATAAACTTTAGAGCTGCATTCTTTAGAACTAAAAAAATTAGTGCTCTTACTATAAAATTGGTAGAGATAAAGGGAAATCGTTTATTCATCAGTTTATTTACTTGTGAAATTAGATTTGTTTTGACCAATAATAGCTGCTATGGTATAAAAAACTTGTTCAACTATGATCAATAATTCATAAAAAGACGGATTGCACAACCAAATGGGAGATTAGTCGATTACTGATGGTCTGATCAGGTACTCTGAAAATAATATATTTGATAGTAATAATAGCAAGGAGATGATTTTGCAACAATTTAAATATGAAAACTTGCTGAGCTACATTCTCTTTTCAATGTTCCTCACAATCCTTATTTGATTTGTCTAGAGATATACATATATATTTTTTATATATGCCCATAGTGGTGCATGATGTGCAGGAGGGAGGAGAGAGTATTGATCATTTGTTTATGCATTGCCCTATAACTTTGGGCTTATGCAGGATGTTGTTTTGGTTAGTAGGGCTGGATTGGATATTACCTTCCTTGGAAGAGTGTAGTTTGTGCGATGTTGGGAGTTATTTGGTTGGAAAGGAAAGCAAGAATTTATGAGGATTAAGTTTTGATGACATTGGTAGTTTATGGGATAGGGTTTGTTATTTTGGCTGCTTTTGGGTTTCCTTGTCTCTTTGCCCTTGAGGGATTCCTTTGTTTTTGATTAGTAATGATTGGAGAGTGGTAGGTGAGATGGAGCATTGATATTTTTCTTTTCCTTGTTTGATTGGGTGGATTTCTCATCCTCCTTTTTACTTTTTCATTTTATTTTTTATGTTTTTGTGGGTACTTTTCTTCTTTCCCTGTCAATAAAAATTTCTTTGTTGCTAATCCAAAAAATTTAATCAAAATATAGATATTGGTTGTTTTTTTTTTTTTTTTTTTTCTCAATAAAAATTTCTTTGTTGCTAATCCAAAAAATTTAATCAAAATATAGATATTGGTTGTTTTTTTTTTTTTTTTGTTCACCCACCCTGATTGTTGGACAAGGCCATGATTTCTCAATATGTCAGCTTTCAGTTATAGGAACTACTGGCTTTACTTCCTTATTATGCCTGAATTTAGAATACTATTGCAGGCTAAATTGGAGCAAGGAATTGAAATGCTGAAGATTTTCAACAATTATGAAAGTAATATGTCCATCTTAGATGATTTTGAGTTCTACGAAGACAGGCAAAAAGCCATGCAAGAAAGGAAGGCCAGGCAGCAGCAGCAGCCTAGCTTGGTGGTGGGTGTTGGGGAAAGTGCAGGAAATGTTGTTACAACAACATTATCTAGCAATTTCATCCAACAGATATCCAAGAGTTTTGCTCAGGTTGTCCACTTGGAGGACTATGCTAAAGAAGGCTCAGATTCAGTATCAGTGACTGAGAGAACCACTGGTACTGCATCAGATGCCTCCATGACCAACGGACATAAACTTGAAAATGCTACTACTGTGGTGTCCTCAACTAGTAAGACCAGCTAAAGGGTCCCTATAAGGCTTGCTGTTAATATATGTGACACACCACTTTTGATCATGCCTCTTTCTTGTTTTTTAGATCATCTAGTGAGGAGGGTGTCCTCTGTTCTCAGAATTATTGGAGGGCATCAGTGGCTTGATAATGGCGCTTGTATATTATATACCTGCTGAATGTCCCTTTTTATTGTAATTTTAGCTTTTATTTCTTTGTTTCTTATTCTTATTAATTTTATATTTCTTTCTGCCTTATTATTATTATTATCACAGAACGAGGTGGTCTGTGTTGTGCTTAGTATTTCATCCTTTAGACAAGTGACCCCAAAGCTTGGATAAGGAGAACGTTCTGTCTCTACTGTAGATTTAGATTATGAGCACAGAATATATGTTATAAAATTTATCTATTTGGATTTGAGAATTGGACACTCAAGTGATTTAAAAAATCTAAAATGAGGTGTTTAAGTTAAATAAATATTGTTAAGTTACAATTACTCACTAAATTTTCTTTCTTAAAGGTTAAGATAGATTAATTTGAGTTAAACTTGGCTAATTAAGCTAACGAAACAATTAGTGACTTAAGTTAATTAGTTCATAGAACAAAAAGACAGAAGGATGAAATTGAGAGTTAAACATTTAGTTGATTTAGAAAATCTATAATGAAGTGCATAAGTCAAACTAGTATCGTTAAATTATACTAGTATCGTTAAATTATAATTACTCAGTACATTTTCTTTTTTAGAGGATAAATAAGATTAGTTTAAGTTAAGTTTGGCAAATTAAGCTAATGAAACAATTAGTGGCTCAAGTTAATTAGTTCTTAGAACAAAAGAGATAATGATAGAGAAGGACAGAGAAGGTTAGAGCGAAACTTTCTGCGTGAGAGTTAGAAAAAAAAAAAAAAGAAAAAAAAAAAAGGAGAAGAAAATTCAAATTCATATTTTTGGATTTAGAATTGAACATTTAGTTGATTTAAAAAACTTAAAATACCTAAATTGAGGTGTTTAAATTAAACTAATATTGTTAAGTTATAATTACTCGGTAAATTCTTTTTCCTATAGGTTAAACAAGATTAGTTTGAGTTAAACTTGGTCAATTAAGCTAATAAAACAACTAGTAGACTAAGTTAATTAGTTATTAGAACAAAAGAGAGAAGGATAGAGAAGGACGGAGAAGTTGGAGAGAAACTTTCTTCTTGAGAGCTAGAAGAGAAAGTTAGAGAAAAGAAAGAGAAATAGGAAGAAAATTAAAGGGAATTTAAATTCATCATTTTGGATTTGAGAATTGAACAATTTAGAGATTTGGAAAACTTTCAATGAGGTGTTTAAGTTAAACTATAATTACTTAGAAAATTATCTTTCTTAGACGCTAAACAAGATTAGTTTGAGTTAAACTTGGCCAATTAAGCTAATGAAACAATTAGTGGCATAAGCTAATTGTTCTTAGAACAAAAGAGAAAATGATGGAGAAGGACGAGAAAGATAGGGAGAACCTTTCTTCTTGAGAGCTAGAAGAGAAAATTAGAGAAAAGAAAGAAAAATGGGAAGAAAATCAAAAGGAATTCAAATTCATCCTTTGGATTTGAGAATTGAATACTTAGTTGATTTAGAAAACCTAAAATGAGATGCTTAAGCTAAACCAATATTGTTAAGACACAATTACTCAGTAAAATCTGTTTTTTGTAGGTTAAACAAGATTAGTTTGAGTTAAATTTGGCCAATTAAGTTAATGAAACAATTAGTGGCCCAAGGTAATTATTATTTTTTGGGTGGATAAGTCATAAAATAAAAGACAAAAAACTTACACCACTACAAGGGGCATACCCCAGGCCCTAACCAAGCACTATACAAGAAACAAAATATAAAACCATAAAAACACCTAGTCAACCCAATATAAACTGTTTAACAGAAACATATCTAAGTGGACAAAAGGAAAAGAAATAGAACACAATATTAAACTAGAAACCCAAAACATAATATCAAGTACCCAAAATGTGTTCATAGGCCGCATGCAGATTTGATCAGGAGCATGAACACACCCAATAGCTAAGGAACAAAAGTCAGAAATAATCACAAAACCATGTACCCCTGTGCACATCCCGCACGGGTAGGCCAAACTACCAAAATACCCTAAATAGAACAAACATAAAAGAAAGTCATTCTTCACACATGAGGCGCCTTTAGCAGCCATCAACACGAACACAACCAGCTCCAAACTTCGAATGAACCCAAAGTGTATACCAAACCAGGTAGCACCATCCAAAGAGATACTTCGCTGCCATCCCATGCATCCCGAGCAGATTTTAGACATTATAGTAAAACCCTGTCATCCAGGAAATACCGAACAAGAATAAGCACTCCACAATCAAGTAACATTCAAGAATCAATAATAGTTTATAGTTAACATCACACATATATATGCTCACTACACTCAACCCACAATTATATATGCTCACATCACTCGAAAAACAATGCTCCATATACCTGCAAAAGAAATAAATACAGAGAATATATAAAAACATGTTAGTTCCTCTCAATGTGGCTAGTGATGTTGGGTTAAGTGATTGTTTAGTCCTCACACTATACTCAACCCTCAGATTATAAGGCACACACTCAGAATCCTGCTTCCCAATGAACCAAGTACCTATATCAATAACAAACATTAGGAAACCCGACAGTGTATATGCTAACCACCACTCAACCCACAATTTGTGAACTCTCATTCCTCACATCAGCTGCAGCAGGCTTCAACATAGTATTAGGGTAGTCTCCAAGAGCTAAGATACCATCTGTCAGTGTGGTGAGACTTCAAATTGGTAATATGCATTATCCTGAATCTAACTATATCCACTATACACTTGATAACCACCTGTTCAAGGACCATATCCTTACTAAACACTCTATTATTCCTAGCAATCCACAACTGGTACACAGTACAAGTAAATGCAAGCTTGGTAATAATATTCCCTAAAGACTTCCCTCTCACAGATTTATCAATGAGCTGGATCAAATCATTCCAATGGATAGATGGCCAATCAACATTTATTGTACCTTTAATGCAGGACCACACCCTTTTAGAGAATGGACATTCAAAGAAAAGGTGGTTGTGGTCTTCACAAGGGTGCTGACAGAAAGCACACTCAGCAGATTGGGTCACACCAAATATTTTCAACATGTCTCCCGTGTTCAATCTGCCAAGAATAGCCATCCACACCACAAAGCTCACTTTAGGGATATTGTGAGGACCCCAAATTAATTTAGACCAGTTCACTGGATCAAAGTGTTGTCTCAAGGAATTCCAAGTGGATTGAATAATGAATTTGCCATTAGCAACAGGACACCAACTAACATCATCAGACTCACCAGTAGGGAGGAAAGTGGAAGGAGTGCTATCAATGAGGTCCATAAGCTCCCATGAAGATGGAAAAGGCCATCTCCAAGTAGTGCCCTCCACAATCTCACTAACCTTGGCATCTATACCTAGTACAGAATCATACACAATTCTAACCCCAAATCTATCCCAAACAGACCCCATAGGGTGCCAATTATCAAACCATAAAAAAACTCTAGAACCATCTCTCACCCTATGTTTGATTAAAAGGTAAATAATAGACCTAAGAGAAATGATTTTTCTCCAAATCTAGGAGGGATCATTTGGCACCCTAACTCTCTAAAAGCTTCTACCTTTGAGGATGTAAGACTTAACCCAAAGGCACCAACCTAAGGTAATTATTACCTATAACAAAAGAGAGAATGATGGAGAAGGACAGAGAAGGTTAGAGAGAAACTTCCTTCTTGAGACCAAGAAGAGAAATTTAGAGAAAAGAAAATGAAATAGGAAGAAAATCAAAGGGAATTCAAATTCATACTTTTGGATTTGAGAAATTAACACTTAGTTGATTTAGGAAACCTAAAATGAGGTGCTTAAGTTAAACTAATATCGTTAAGCTACAATTACTCAATAAATTCTCTTTCTTAGAAGCTAAACAAGATTATTTTGAGTTAAACTTGGCCAATTAAGCTAATGAAACAATTAGTGGCCTAAGCTAATTCGTTCCTAGAACAAAAGAGAGAAGGACAGAGAAGGTTAGTGGGAAACGTTCTTCTTAAGAGAGAAAGTTAGAGAAAATAAAGAGAAATATGAAGAAAAATCAAAGGGAATTCAAATTCATACTTTTTTGGATTTGAGAATTGAATGCTTAGTTGATTCAGATAACCTAAAAAGAGGTGCTTAAGTTAAACTAATATCGTTAAATTACAATTACTCAGTAAATTCTTTTTCTTAGAGGCTACGCAAGATTAGTTTGAGTTAAATTTGACCAATTAAGCTAATGAAACAATTAGTAGCCTAAGCTAATTAGTTCCTTAAACAAAAGAGAGAAGGATAGAGAAGGACGGAGAAGGTTAGAAAGAAACTTTCTTTTTTAGAGCTAGAAGAGAATGCTCGAGAAAAGAAAGAGAAATATGAAAAAAATCAAAGATAATTCAAATTCATCCTTTTGGATTTGAGAAATGAACACTTAAGAGATTTAGAAAACCTTCAATGAGGTGCTGAAGTTAAACTAATATCGTTAAGCTACTTTTACTCAATAAATTCTCTTTTTTAGAGGCTAAACAAAATTAGTTTGAGTTAAACTTGGCCAATTAAGCTAATAAAACAGTTAGTGGCCCAAGCTAATTTGTTCCTAGAACAAAAGAGAGAAGGATGGAGAAGGACAGAGAAGGTTAGAGAGAAACTTTTTTCTTGAGAGTTAGAAGAGTAAGTTAGAGAAAAGAAAGATAAATAGGAAGAAAATAAAAGAGAATTCAAATTCATTTTTTTGGATTTGATAATTGAACACTTAGTTGATTTAGAAAACACAAAATAAGGTGTTTAAGCTAAACTAATATCGTTAAGCTACAATTACCCTGTAAAATGTCTTTCTGGGAGGCTAAGTAAGATTAGTTTTAGTTAAATTTGGTCAATTAAGCTAATGAAAAAATTAGTGGCCTAAGCTAATTAGTTCCTGGAATAATAGAGACAAGGATAGAGAAGGACGAAGAAGGTTATAGAGAATCTTTCTTCTTGAGAGCTAGCAGAGAAAGTTAGAAAATAGAAAGAGCAATTGGAATAAAATCAAAAGGAATTCAAATTCATCATTTTGGATTTTTAGAATTGAACACTTAAGAGATTTCAAAAACCTAAAATGAGGTGCTTAAGTTAAATGAATATCGTTAGGTTACAATGGCTCAATAAATTCTCTTTCTCAAAGGCTAAACAAGATTAGTTTGAGTTTAAGCAAGATTAGTAGATATTCACCCAAAAAAAAAAAAACAAGATTAGTTTGAGTTAAACTTGGTCAATTAAGTGAACAAAACAATTAGTAGCCTAAGCTAATTTGTTCCTAGAACTAAAGAGAGAAGGACGAAGAAGGTTAAAGAGAAATTTTACTCTTGAGATCAAGAAGAGAAAGTTAGAGAAAAGAAAGAGAAATAGAAAGAAAATCAAACAGAATTCTAATTCATTCTTTTGGATTTGAGAATTGAACACATAGTTGATTTAGAAAACCTGAAATGAGTTGCTTAAGTTAAACTAATATCGTTAAGTTACAATTACTCAGTAAATTCTATTTTTTAGAGGCTAAGCAAGATTAGTTTGAGTTAAACTTGGCGAATTAAGCTATTGAAACAATTAGTGGCCTAAGCGCATTAGTTCTTAGAACAAAAGAGAGAAGGATGGAGGAAGCTATAGTGTCACGACCTCATTCCGCTCCTAGTAGAATGGTGCCATGATGGCCAGTAATCCGAGATTTTACCGAAGGCCAACTTTCTAAATTCACACACAATTAGAGTATTACATATGAGGCTAACATGTGCGGAAGCAATATATACAAATTTAATTAGTCCATAAGAGCTGTGCATAAGTTAAATGGAACGGCATACATTCGTACATAGCTTTAATACAACAAAATGAAGTACAAAAATACATCTTGACCAAAAGGCTTCTCAGCTATCAAATACAAAGTACAATAAAATACAACTAAGAAGCATAATCTTCAAAATGCGACAAAAGTGCAAAATCCAAAACAAGTAGCAAGTACATTTAGGCGTCACCGCCGTCCTGCTCGTCACCTACATATATATAGAGAGGGGTGAGCTTGGATACTCAGTGAATGATATAAATAATAAAGGGGTTTGCATGAATGATATCCAAAATCTTTATCAAACCAAGGCACATCACATCTTGTACAAAATCCAAGGGCAAATCAAGTTTATCTAACAATCTTTCAAGTCTCAATAATTTAAGTCTTTCAAGGCTCTCAAGTTTCAAGGGGTGGCATTAACAGAGGTTGTGCTACAAATGCTTATAGTCCCCTAGCACGTACGGACTTTCAAAGATTGTCATTCAAAACAAGGCTAATACTTGATATACAAAATAGGGATAATCATTCATGCTTCAAAAATATTTTCCAAAACAAGCAAGGCGAAACTTTATCAAAACTTAATAACATAACTTTATTAAAATACACTCACTTAGCTCTTTAGAGTCGGGGTCAAGGCAAGTCCAAGTCCTACAAACACATGGCAAAGTCTGTTGAATGCACTTTCAACAAGTTCACATGCATACAATGATCTGACATCCTTCAAAACCAAGCTAATCAAACAAACACTGTTTTTCATCTCGGGAAAACATGCTGGGCCGACTACCACTTAGGCGAGGTCCCACACCTCGTTGCGGAGTTGTTTGCCTTGCGATGGCAATTCGGAAATGAGGTCGGGAAAATCTGGGTTTTCTCTCTTGAAGAACACGTGAACATTGAAGAACATGAACATGAGGAAGATGAATGAAGATATAATTTGCTATTACAAAATCTGAGATTTCATGCTATGAACTCAAAAACATGGACCTGGGTACCATATTCAAGGATCTTGCGAGAAAAACACACAAAATGAATCTTTAAGGCAAGCTTTCGGATCAAAAAGATTTTCTTTCAAAAAAACATGAAACCTATTTTCTCTTTCTAAAAAACCAACCTTTAAACCAATGCATAACATACAGAACAAGTTCGTCGTGCAATGCCAGGCTAGATTAACATAAAGGAATAACAAAAGTAATATAGAATCTAAACCTCAATACGCGAAATCTGAACGGTTTTGATCTCTAGAGAATCAAGTGAAAGCCCACTCCTCTCACTCTAAACTTCTTCTTTTTCTTAGAGTTCTCTCTCCTTCACAAAACAAGACGTAAGCAAATGATACATTTCTAGGTCTGCTGGCTGAATTAAACTCAGCGTGGGACAACGTTGGCACTACTGGTTGCGTTCTCCCTAAAAAGGTGGGTGAGTGAAAAGACAAGAATATGACAAAGTGTGTTCACAAGCAAGATGGATGGGCATCGGAGGGTAATGACTCGGCTAAGAAAAGCATCGGCAAGTAGGGGAACAATTGATCTCGGCTAGGAAGGCAAATTGACTAGCTGGCACACTTTGGCCTAGGATGTGCACATTTTGGTTTAGTCACACACTGCCAGGACAAGATACATTTAGGTGCTAAGAGGTAAACATCTCGGCCTAGATAATCACATTCGCTTGGTGATGACACTCGGCCTAGATAATGATCTCGGCATATGTCAGGGCGAAGGTAGAGGTCAAACAAGGTGGTTCCAAGGAAGTTCTAGACTAAAGAGACCTCGTAAACTCAACCAAGCAGGTAAAACATGCGAGACACTTAAGCAAGAGAATCAAGGTTTGCAAAGATGCAATATCAGAAAGATCATATAATTATATGCAGCATGACTAAAGTAGAGTGAGGGTTGTATAAATCTATAGACCTCCTTAAAGAAGTTTGGTCCAAATTAATTTACCTTGTTCTACAAATAACCCGGATACGGATTTCTTTTTTTCTTTCATTTCTATGTAGATCCTTGTCGTAATGCTTTTCCATTCGATTTTCACCATTGGTATAGATTTGTTCTAATGTTACGTTGTTTTGTCAATAATTTCATCGGCTTTCTCGTAGCTAATCGTCATAACCGCAAATCCCGGTATAATCAATTCATGCAGTGGATCCGAATATACTTCCTCAACATCGAAATATGGAAACACATTGTGAACTTGAATTGTTGGTGGAAAGCTAGTTTCTATCGGCAGTTGGGGTTAACTTTCTCAATGACTTCAAAGGGCCGACGTAACGGGTGCCAATTTACCTTTCCCGATTTGAAACGTCCTTCCATCGGGCGAGATTGTAGGATAACGTGATCCAACTTAAACTCTAACGTCTCTTCTCTGGTCGGCGTAACTCTTTGTTGACTCCTGAGCGGTTCTAATTCTCCGTGGATAAGCTTGATCTTTTCGTTGTCCTTTGAACTAGATGGGGCGACAAGTTTATCTCCTGTCGGTCCAGCATATGGCTCTGCAATTTTCTTCCATAAAGTGGCTTCATACGGCGCAATGCCAATGCTAGTTGATACCTGTTGTTTGTAAGCGAATTCTACTAATGGTAAATGCTCTTCCAGCTTCCTTGAAGTCCAATTTACACATAGTCTAAGCATATCTT